TGAATAAAGGAGGGTTTTTTCCAAGATATTTTGAGACAAGAGTCAATTTCCATTATCTGATGTTGTACAATTGGTGAGTTTGTCATAAAAAAACATGGACCCAACAAATGAATAAAGATTTTTATAAGATACCTTGAAGAGAAGAACAATTGTCATTTATCTGATGTTGTACAATTGTGAGTTTGTCATAAAAAGTAAACACTGTTTTAACAGAACAATGTACTAATGATTCACTACCCCAATAAATGCCCAAAAAAAGAAATGGTTTTTTAAAAAAGGTGTTCTTTAAAAAGCAATTTTTTAAAAAATTTTTCAAAAATGTAAAAAAAAAGAAAGATCAAAATTTTTCATTTGTTATTTTTTAAAATTAAACGCTTGGGAAAAAAAAAAACGGGTTTATAAATTTTAAAAATGAAATTTAATGTTAGCAAATTTTTATTACGAATAAATTTTAAATTTTTTTTAGAACATTTTTAACTGTGGGCACGAAAATACCAACATAAGGGTTTGGCGGGCCAGCAAGGGTCCAAAACCCGCCCCGCATCCGCGCATTCTGATCAGGACCATGCGTTCGCAAAAACAGTTTCCCCTTTGTTTTTAAGGGTTTGGGAACGAAGGCATGGATCCTAAAGACTGTGCGGATGTGCAGGGCTTGTCTTTGGGTTTCCCATGCTGGTCGCATAAACCCATTATGTTGGGGGGTTTTGTTTGTGACACGGCTCATTTTATTTTCTCTAAATAAATTTATGTAGTACTGATACTTTGAAATGTTCAATCACGCAATTATTTTCTTTGATGGAAATGGTCAACACTTTTAAAAAACCCTCAAAGACTAAAAGGTACCGTTTGTATAGACAATATTCATTGAAAGAAAGATAAAATAAAGCGTGCTTGTTTTCGTATGTAAATCTATATAATAATTATGTTTTGTTTCGTGTTTGATACCGACTCTGATAATGTGTCCGCGTTTGTCAACGAAATAAGAGAATATTGAATAACGAATCCAAGTGACGCTGGTTTCTGTCTTCGGCGAGGCGTTATTTCTTTCGTGACAAACGTAATCAATTTGGTCTTTCACAGCTAAATCAGAAAATCATGTAGGATTTGTAACGGTAAGTAACTGTAATTTAACTGGTAGCTATTTCAGGACAACCGGTAAGGTGGATAGACCGCCAAGTGTACATCTTAACATGTACATAAGCAAGCGTCGTCCATATCATAAAACCAGGAAGATCTGGCATTTGCATATGTTTAAACAATCATATCTTAATGAAAAACTACTTTAAAAACCCAAAAGAACTAAAGCACGGAAAAGTTAAAACATTTTCTCAAAACATACGATAGTTCTTGTTGTTTAAAATTATTAATCATTTTTTATTATTTTTGTTATTAATATTATAATTATTATTATCATTATCATTATTATTATTATTATTATTATTATTATTATTATTATTATTATTATTATCATCATCATTATTATTATTATTATTATTATTATTATTTATTATTGTTATTTTTTTTATTATTATTATTATTATTATTATTATTTTTATTATTATCCTTACGATTAGTATTATTATTATTACAGAGTGTGCAACGTAAAACCTGAAAAGATGTTTCTACGGGATTGGTATATCTCTGTTCAGTTGATATGTTTGGAGACACGTTAAACGTTTTTTTTACCAAATGATTCACTCCTTTTCTGCGCAGCTGTGATTCTTTTCTAAAGTTGTATAATATAAAAACAAACTAATGGTTGTTACCTGCATTCTAAGTTCTGTATCGCCTGACTGGTTTAATTTTTCATCAAGAAATGTTTCGTGCATTTTCAACTTATCATCAGAAGAGATTATTTAATAAATAAACAATGAAAAGCAAAGTATTTCTTCTTTCTATTATTTTACTTTCTTGATGATGGTGGATGTAGTAGTGATGGTTTCGTTTTGCGTTTTTTTTAAATACTGCTGAGAGTTTATCAAAAAGTAGTGAAATAGTAGTTCATCTTCAGCATGAAGGACTGTCTGGCATCGTTGGCGTATAGAACGGATCGGCGTATTGATTTTGGCATGTGGAATGTTTTCCATTCTTGAATTGAGGCTTGGCTTAGCTGAATGACGTTTTACGGTGAAATAGGGCAACGTATAAAACGCTGGTCATAAGTATCCAAAAGGTGTTCAATGGGACTGAGATCAGGGTTTCTGGGAGGCCAGTCATAATAAATGCAATTTTTTTCGCTCTTATGAAATTCACAGTGTCCCTTGCTGTATGACTTGAGGCATTATCATGATGAAGAATAATATTGGCATTATTTTGTGGGATAATATGCCTCGCAGGCATTTCATCTCGGTAGCGTTGGGCATTCAGGTTTTCATGTAGATAGTATTTTTACCACAGCAACAAGGTTGGATCATTGAAGTATGATTCATGTCAGTGTATCGCTGTAGGAAGACATTAACTCTATATAAAAAGAATCTACAGTAAAACTGTACGATTATTCTGACAAGCACACGCTTTCATCTTCTGGTTAACAATATTGATCAAATTTTTATTTCGCTGATTTTACTGGTTTAATACCTCATTTGTTTTCTCTGTATAACCTCTACATGAGTCCGTTCAATAGAAAGAATGTCTGATAAGTAATTTAGGGGTCGACGAGATATGGCCATGGATGTGCTAAAATCGATGTGCTTAAACCGAACAATTAATCCAATTTAAACTTGCTCAATTGGCACAGCATTGCTACCTACAATGTTTATTAACTTATAAATATAAAACGAGATTTCAAATCTGTCCTGATTCTTAACCTTTTCCCTCATATATGAGTGTTTCTACGTGAAAATATGCCCTATTTAGGTCCCAAACACTGTTTTTCGTTTGAGAAATGTTGTTAAAAAAGTGACCACTTTTTCGTCGCGGTCGCCCATCCAAATGTTACATCAGGGGGTTGCCAGAAGGGGGATGTGCCCCCTTCTGTTTGGGAGGTTTTAAGGGGGGCGGAGTCCCCCTCATCGCCAAGAAAATTTTGGACATGTGACTGGCTAAAAATGGCCTCAGGTCGATCTTATGGTAACTAGTAAACCGACGCTGAAAAGCCTTTTACTCTATCTCAATTCATTGAGAAGTTTCAGCACTTTGAAACCAGTTTTGATCGAAAAAAAAACAATACAAAATAGTGATTTTTTGGCAATTTTTGAGACGTCCCCCCGTTGCCATAGTAACAGAAAATTTAAGATTGAGCATGCTGTTACAGAGGCTATGCTGTAGTCAACATTTGTGCCAAGTTTCATCAGTATTGAAGCATTTTTCATAGTTTCATAGCAGTTTGAAACTTGTTACAGGAGGGCTTTTCAACTGAAAACGGCCATTTTTCGCAATATGCTTATGGGGTAAAAAGGTAAACTAATAAATAAAAAATGTCAAAAAACAAAAAATTTTTCACCAAAAATTCAGTGTTAGGGCACGTGTTAACAAGGAAAATCTAGTTTTGGGGTAATTCCACATGTTTTTCATCATATTTGTTAATTAAAAATAAAAATGTCAAAAAAAAACAACAATTTTTCACCAATATTCAGTGTTAGGGCAACGTGTTAACAAGGAAAATCTAGTTTTTGGGTAATTCCAAGGTTTTTTCATCATATTTTGTTAACCTTTTCCCTCATATAAGCGTGTTTCGAACGGCTTTTTGCCCCGCCCCCCCTTTTTTGAGGCCTCAAAACAGTGAAAAAATGCCCTATTTAGGCCCCAAACACTGTTTTCGTTTGAGAAAATGTTGTTAAAAAGTGACCACTTTTTCGGCGCGGTCCCTCCATCCAAATATTACATCAGGGGGTTACCAGAAGTGGGATGTGCCCCCTTCTGTTTGGGGGGTTTGAAGGGGGGCGGAGTCCCCCTCATCGCCAAGAAAATTTTGAACATGTGACAGGCTAAAAATGGCCTCAGGTTGATCTTATGGTAACTTGTAACCGACGCTGAAAGCCTTTTACTCTATCTCAATTCATTGAGAAGTTCCAGCACTTTGAAACCAGTTTTGATGGAAAAAAAACAAAACAATGCAAAATAGTGATTTTTGGCATTTTTGAGACGTCCCCCCGTTGCCATGGTAACAGGATATTTAAGCCTGAGCATGTTGTTACAAAGGCAATGGTCCAGTCAACATTTGTGCCAAGGTTGATTAGTATTGAAGCAGTTTTCATAGTTTGATAGCAGTTTGAACTTGTTACAGGAGGCTTTTCAATGAAAACGGCCATTTTTCGCAATATGCTCATGGGGTAAAAGGTTAAGCTAATCTAAATAACAAAACAAAGTTGAAACATCAAGCTATAACTAACAACTTTTATGGCGGTCGGTCTATTCACCCAAAGACACCCTAATGGGTATCAAGATAAAATTACTTTTTATTTGTTACTATTTGATACTATTATCACTAATTTAAGCCTGTTTTTAACTACTAACTTTGAATTTTCTCATAATTCAAGTACTGACTGTGTCACATGTATTTTGTGTGTTACATTGATATTAAAAGTACATTTTACTGGGTGTTATTCTTGCAAAAAGTGATAAGAGTTTTAGTCTATTGCGTCCATTTCATGTAGTATCATAGCAAATGAACTATGTCCCCTGCATGTTAAGATATCCTCATTCAAAATATCAAGCATGTTAGGATAATACATTACATAATAATATATATGATTAATGTGAATTCACTTTATTTCGTTGTCATGATATGTCGTGGTTTTGTCATAAGTTCTTTTCCGTGGATTTCTTAATCTGTCAATTGTATTATTTAAAACAAAATAATAAATAAATAGGTAATGCAAATAGTGTTATAAAAATAATCGGACAGGAGACGAAATGAATTTTCGTTTGATATTAGATTTATAAATTAACCTAGTATGTTACAGACCGTTGCGTGTTAGTTTCGTGTTTGTAGTTTTATACCTTCATTTTTCACGAGTTTATTTATTATATTTTATAACAATAAATACAACAATAGATAATTCTTTTCACTTTTATTTTCAATTAAAATTAATTGTTAAATTAAAAGGTAGCATCCGATTAAAATAAGACTTGCAAGAAAATTATCATTTTATATTTGTTTTCTTCTCATTCTTTTTTTCTTCTCCCTTTCTTGCTGTCGTTCGTTTTTGTCATTTTTGTATTTCAATCTGTAATAAATAATAATGAATATGATAGCACTTAAAAAATAGGCAAGCATTTCGGTTATCACATAAGAAAAAGGAAACAACGACATATTGAAGTATGAAAACTTGAGCATAAAGTTACATGTACGTGTACTTGTACAAGTTAAGTAGCATATACAAGTCAAATAGCATATGTATCCAAGTTTTAATCCAACGTTAAAGAACCTAAAAAAGGAATGTCAGCTTTCAACCTTTTTATCGTGTAAACATTCGGAATATCTTAACGATTATTCATGTATACTTCTCCGAAGCATAACGAAAAGTGCCGAAAAGACGAATTTGGTTTTACTTTATTATTACATATTGCTAGATTGAATTTTGACTTTGAAAATAAATTTAGGATAATCTATATGAAATATCTTACTATTTGTATCCATAAACCTCCACTTCACACAGATGAAACATTGTTTGTATGTTCCGTAAAGTTATCCTGACATAACGAGCTTTTACTGGATCAAACTTGAAAGACATGAAAAGACCCAATTCGCCCTCTTTATACGCCACCATATTCCAATTACCAGGATTTTCCCTTGCTACGGAGATTTCAACGTTTTGTGCTCTTTTAGCTAAAATAACAATTATTTTCTACATCGACATTAACTACAAAAACAAATTTGTGACAAACTGCCTTCGTTTCTTTTTTTCGATGTTTTTTGAAAGTGTATTCGGATGGTCACAAATCTTAAGAATGTACGTCAAAGTTTTCACGAGCCTATGGCAAATCCATTACCTGAACCGAAATAATTTATTATGAAGACATCTGTTTGAACCCAAACAATAATTAAAAAAAATACGGCATCATTATACGAGAAGTAAATATAAAATATGAATGTAAATAAGTAGGTTTTTTACGGATCTATGATACTTCTAATAGCCTTTTTCAAAATTTAAATTATAAGTTGCCTCTATGAAATTAACACCCATATATACCATTTATTATAGTAAACAGTTGTATAATAAAAGATTAAAGAAAACATACAGCCAGTGTCACTGTTTGTGATGTTAACTTGACTTATGGCATATTCATCCTGAAGATCGACTTCCCACCAGGGACTTGTGTTGTTATTAGTATGGAAACAACTGTTGTGAGATATTGTACTATCAGCATTACCATCATTCCCTTTGTTAGCACTCCATTGATTATTTAAAGAATAAACAGTTGTCTGACTGGCTGGTTTTCCAAGGGCAAGATTAACGAAAGCTGAAACAAAAATCTTTTTTAATTAATCATTAACCTTTACAATATTAACCTTTATTAAAGAATATATTTTGTGCTTACCTTTTTCCCTAAAACTTAAGAAAATCACGTTTTAAAGTTTTAATAGTAAGAAGTCTATTCACTATGTGTTGGTGAAGGAGATATAATCTTTTTCTCAGCTAGCAATTTGCTAGTATTTACTACTTAAATATTCATTACTATTCAGATCAAATCAGAGTAGAGTGTACAACATACTTTACGAAATGAGCATATTCCTTATGCACGAAAGTTACAAAAGAAAAAGACTTCTTTTTGGTAAATTTGAACGTACTTAAAAAACGTTCTTATACAGCATTTAATAGTGGATTTGCAAAACGAAAAAAATAAATAAATACAATGTTCGAACATATATGCCAAATTCACACCATTCTATTTCAATACCTGAGAGCAGTGCAAACGCAATGCAAACTGTCTATAATAACAACATTTTTATCATTGTTGTTCGAAAGACATACACAGAATTGCTAGATGTGTGATTGAAACATGAAGAAGCAAATAGTCGCTCATTTACTTCTGTAATTTGATTTTTATAATTAGTTAACAATTGATAATGCAGAAAATATTTTTACAAGATAATGGAATGAACATAACGTTTATGGTCATACATTGTCTTGTGTAAAGTAAAACGATATTGTGAGTTACAAAGAAATTCATGTGTTCATATAATTGAATAAAGTAAAAAAAAAGCAGTCAAGTAAGTTAACAGGGTAATGCTTACTTTGTTCACAGTTCTTTCCATAAAATCCAGGGGCACATGTACATACGTAGTTACTATTCCCATTTGTACACACGCCGCCGTTCAAACATGGCTTAACATCACAATCATCGGCAGGCACTCCTTAATAAAGATGACTTTAAGTGATAACGTTAATCCAACAACAATAAAATATAATTTTGATCACTCTGAGAAAAATAAATGAAATATTCCGAAAATGTAGGTTAGTCAAATTAAATATGTTTCAATAATAAAAATCTTTTTCGCTTACATAAAACAATTATTTTTATTACATGATTTCTTGCTGTTAGGTCATAATACTTGATACTATTTAAATACCACACAGAGAATGGCGATATATTGGAGTTAGATAATAACAGATACACAATAAGACCTAACATTTACTGAACTCGTTATGTTGCAAAAGGTATGCCTTACTTTGTCCAAAGACTTCTACTTCACATAAATGAAAATATGTTTGTATGTTCCTTAAAGTTACTCTGACGTAACGAGCTTTCACTGGAACAAATGTAAAAGACACGAAAGGACCCATTTGACCTTCCTTATAGGCTAACATCTTCCAATTACCAGGATTTTCTCTTGCTACGGAGATTTCAACATTCTGTGCTCTGGAAGCTTAAATGAAATTAAAAACATATTTTACCTGCACACAACTCCAATAAATAGATTTGTGAGTTATGGCTGAATATTGTGATAATGAATATGTAAACGAAATGAGGAACAAACATAGTTTAACGGATTCTGCTTTTTTACATATTGAACTGTATTTCTTTTAATTAGAACAAAATTAAGAATATAACCTCGTAAGAAAAACGCGTGCATTATCGGTTCGTTCTTGGGTTCCTTAAAAATTGCTCCTATTCAAGTGATTTCTTTATGTAGACATTTTTTAAACTAAAGCAGTGTTTTAAAGAAAACATGGTCTATTGCCAATGTTGTAAAATAAGTAATTATAAAATTGCAACTCAATGAGGCTAAGAATAGCTTGTTTCAAATTTTTTTCCATGAATTTTAATAATAACGTTAAAATAAAGCATATATAATATAAAGTATAATAGTAAATATATAGTAAAACGAAGAGAGCTACATACTTGAAGAGTCCTTCCTGTTGGTGATGTTAACTTGACTTATGTAATATACATCCTGAAGATCGACTTCCCACCAGGGATTTATATTGTAAGCAGTATGGAAACAATGGTTGTGATTTATGTTACCATCAGCATCGCCATCATTCCCTTTGTCGGCTGTTAATTGATTATTATTATAAACACTTGTCTGACTGGCAGGTTTTCCAAGGGCAACATTAACGAGAGCTGAAGTTAATTATAAGTAATCATAAAACTTTTACAATTTTTTTACATTTATGTCAGAATATATTTTATTTGCATAGTTTTCTTCACAAGAAAAAAATTTTGTTTTTATAGTGCGTAAAGAACTTCTTACATTTAATGTGTAAAACATTTAAAGGATTGCAAAGTTGAAATATTTAGTACTCGTATTAATGTATTTTTCAAGTTGATATTTTACCTGCATTTGACAGTGTTGTTTTCAGAACAACCATAATCGTCGAACCTACCTGAAATATTAAAATCATAAAGTTTTTTGATGTTTGCATTCCATAAGTTTGTTACGCTTTTTTTACATTTGTTATACTTGTATGAGTGGTATTTTATATATTTTCCTTGTATTAGTGGCAATTATGTCTATTTACTTGTTGTATTAGAGGCAATTATATCTATTCTACTTGTACAATTGTAAATTTAATCTATTGTACGTGTATTAGTGTCAATTATCTCTACATTACGTGTATAAGCGGCAATAACTTTATTTATACTATTCAGATGATTTATTTAATAGCAACATCTTTTATCCGAATGCCATATTGGAATATCATACAAGAAATAATACAAGATCTGTTTATGTGTTTAACTCACAACAGTATAGAACATTACTCAACCTTTAATTAAGGAGGATAAAAACGAAAAAAAAATACAATAAACTATGTTATACCAATGTAGAAAATATCAACTTCCCCATGCTTTACAGATTGACAATATTCCCGAAAGACAAGAGTGAAATCAAATATCTTTCTTCTGAAATTGCAAAGATTATAGTATATTATGCAACTCAAAAGTTCAAAAAATGCTAATATTTAACTATTACAGTAGCATGTTTTCCTTGATCATTTATGTAATAATTAGTCAATTGTCCAGTCAACAGTGGTAAATGGGCAAAATATAATTTTTTCTATTTCTAAGTAAAAATGTCGTTCTGATGACATTGATTACCCTAAAACTTACCAAAGATAGTCAGAGAGCAGTTTTTTTCAATGTCGTTCGTAATTGACGAAATCTTTATGTAGAAATATTAATTATATTTAAAGAGAAAAAAGAAACACACAAATGACATATTTCAAAAAGAAGCAGTTTAAGTAAATCTAACATGGCTAATATTGCTTCGAAGTACAAATGAAAATTGAATTTGCTACCATGACCATGATATTTTAATGACCGCAAATGAAGCGTACCAGCCAAATAATTACAGTTCAACTATTTTATGTTATCTGAAAATACATTGATGATTAATATCTACACGACAAGTTTTTAAAACAAAATTAAAAAACAAGATATCACAAAATATTCGTACTTTGGAAAATGGACTAATATGTTCCAAACCAAACGCATCTTGGTTTAGATTGAATATACTTAGATTCTTTTCATTTTGATGAAAATAAATATGTTTATTTTAGTATCTATGAGTAAAACAAAGTTGTTTTAAATGCGCTGGCTGTTAGAATGAGATTTAATATATAAGAACTGTTTCTTTTGATAAAAAGGAAGGAAAATTAAATAATTAAATTCACACTTAGAACACAGAATTTTTTTTAACTTATCAGATGAATAGTATAATGTACGTCAAAGTAACTGTGTTTGAAAAAAACGCCGACAAAACTAAATGTATTTGTATTAATTTGAAATAAAACAGTAAAAAATATTTTATACTTACATTTTCACTGAATGGTCGTCCGAATTGCATATGCTGGTAGTCTGTTAGTTTGTATTGATTATATACTGTTCGTCTTGCATCATCCTGCAACGTTTCAAAAGCCAAAATCTACTTATCAAGCAATATGTTTTATTCAGAAGCTTATCACATTGTTTGCGCACAAAAGACCTTATGAAACATATGTGGCAATGACAATTTTCCTTTGAAGATAAGATTTCAAGCCACTGTTTCAATTGAAAACTTTGTGACCATAACGATAACAATACAATTCTAAAACACTTAGTTTTGTGATAACTGCTAAGGACAAGATTTATACATTTTCCATAGCTTCATCGCCTGAGTGGTAGCATGTAATGAAATATTGCAAAATATAAATGATAGATTCACAGGAATTATGTCTCAGTAGCAGAAAATACACGTATACGTAAATTGTCTTTATTCCTTTATAATCACTAGTACAAAATCTACTTGCCTAGCTATGACGGCAAGATTTTTACAAGTTCAGGCCAAAACAAAAACAAAATTCTTTCAATTGGCCCACATTTAAAATATATTCCAGTAAAGTCTTTGTTTTTCAGTTGATATTCTCAAATTTAAGGGTCTTCATGCCATATCGGGTTTATCCCTGAAATATCTACCACGTGTTATTTTTTGGCGTTTTGATTTGTAGATATTTATATAAAATGAATTGTTATAACAAAATGTTCATAGCACAGTTTTTCCAACCATCACAGTTATCTAACCATTTAATTGACACTACAGTGTTGTTTAATGTGTAAACAAATCCAAGCCTGGAAATGTTAAAGGATATGAGTAATTATAGTTCTAAATGAGATGAAAGTGATTTGAGGCATTACCCAATAAAGGTTCATGTATATAGTCAAGACTCGTGTACATTAGGGCTTTGTGTTTATACCAAAAAGTGAAAACAAACAGGAAAACGTATAAACAGATATAATAATATATGTTCATGTATACTTACACTCTACGATGTAATTATGTTATTGTTGCTATCAGTTTCTGCATCTCATTAAAACACAACAGAGTTTTAGAAAATGGACAACAAATGAATAAAGATGTTTTATAAGATACCTGTGAGAGAAGACAATTGTCATTATCTGATGTTGTACAATTGTGAGTTTGTCATAAAAGTAACACATGTTAACAGACATGTACTAGATGATTCACTACCAAATAAATGCATATGAAGCAAATGGTTTTAAAGAGGTGTTCTTTAAAGAGCAAGTTTTTCATAAGTTTTTCAAATATTGATAAAAACAATAGAAATGTATCAAATGTATCATTTGTGTATTTTTTTAATTATCGCTTGAAAAGAAAAAACGTTGATAAAGTTCTAAAGTGATTTAGTGTTAGCATTTATATGACGAATAGTGATATTTTTTTCTAGAACATTAAATTTTTATTTTCTCTAAATAAATTTATGTAGTATCTGATCTTGAATGTCACGTTTCTTTGATTGAATGGTCAACACTTTAACCTCAAAAGGCCAAAAGATACCGTTGTATAAGATACAATATTCATTGAAAGAAAGATAAAATAAGGCGTGCTTGTTTTCGCATGTATCTATATAATAATTATGTTTTGTTTGTGATACCGAATCTGATAATGTGTCCGCTTAACACGATAGAGAGAATATTGAATAACGAATCCAAGGGACGCTGGTTCTGTCTTCGGGCGAGGCGTTATTTCTTCGTGACAACTGATCATATTGGTCTTTCACAGCTAAATCAGAAATCATGTAGGATATGTAACCGGTAGTAACTGGTAATAACTGGTTAGCTATTCAGGACAACCGGTAAGGTGGATAGACCACCGATATATGACTTAATACATGTGTTAAGGTAGACCATGGGTAATGGGCACCATAAGGAACTGTAAAATTGACAACATAGGACAGTTATATATCTTCAAGGTCACCTGTATGCAAAATTTAAATAAAATTATGGATATATTTCAGAACTAAGACTTTGCCATTAGACGGGCTTATTTTCAGAAATGAGGAAACTCTAAATAGTCTGTAATATCATTATTATAAAATATGTTTTTCTATTGCTCATTGTTAAGAAACAAATAATAACATTCAGGTAACAAATTACACAAGCAAAATGTTTGTTTCTAAACAAAATGTTCTAAATATGTATAGAAATGTTACCATACCCCACCCACTTTAAACACTAATTTTACCATTTCCCTATCTAAAATGCCTTATTCAAAATATCCCTAAAATTTACCATAATGAGGGCCTGTTTTCAAAGTTTGCCTAAATTTTCTTAAAGGTATATTGGTTGATCATGCGAAATATAAAATACTTTTACCGTGTAGTTTATTTTATTAAACTTTGAAAATATCTGGTATCATATTTGCAATAAATTTTGGCATTAATTAGCAAATAAATACCTACAATAATTATATAATTTAAATCAAACCCTTTTACCTCCATATGGGATCAGAGAGATACATAAATAATGTTAAAAAGAAAAAATGAAAGAAAAAAAAAGTTGCCCCTTTTGGGGTTTGAACCCACGCCCCTCAATTTCAATGTTGTTGGCAAGTTGAATACTCTTCAAAGTGGAGGTAATGCATTACCCATGGTCTACCATAAAATTTGAGTAAAAACAGAAACACAATCAAAGGGCTGCAAGCTCTGTGGTATTTTCTGATCTTTGGAATCTAAATCATACTGACTATCTGTATGTATTTTCCTTATAAGTTTATTTTTATATACTATAATTCATCTTACGCAGCGACTGCGTTAAGATTTTTTTTCTATAACAGTTTGAGATTGGTACAATATGGAATTTTGCATGACTAGAGTTGCATCAAAAATCATTTTTTATGACTGCCACACTTTATTCCTGGCATATCGTGGCTACTTCCTTAAAACAAGACACTTCAAAAAAAAAGTTGCCTCGACTAGGTTTGAACCTTAGGCCTCTCACACCCTAAACGAGCGCCGGATACGAGCAGGATACCCTGCACCACGATGAAGTAATATGTAATATGTAGCCTGAATAAAAACAAATACGTTGTAATTCTAAAATTGAGAATTTCCTTTTCGTGTTTGTAATCCTTATCAATTTCGAGGTATTTTTTTCACGATAAACCTGTTTAAACACTTAAAAAAAATAATTTAGCGAAAAATCTTCTCGCCCAAAACAGTCCGACATGTATATATTCCACTACTCGGCAGTCAGATTTATTTGTTGTACTACGCCCTGGAGTATTCAGTAATCGACATAGCTAAAAATAGCATTTTCATTGATTAAAATGATATTCTGATTCATCCGCGAAATTTGTGATTGTAACCTCATATTTCTTTTGACTAATCTGAACTTTCAATGCACTGTAATTCGTTAAATGCCTACATTAAAAATTATTCTGTCTTTTAAATTGCTGGTTTTTAAGCAGTTTTGAGTGAGAACTACTTTGCGTTGTTAGGTCTGTTAGGAAATTTTGTGTTAGACCGTGGATGTTAGCTATGTATTTACTGATCTTGCGATCAGAAAATACAAAAAGAAGTGTACATATGTAAGATGTACATAGCAAGCGTCGTCATATCATAAACCAGAAGCTGTCATTTTATATGCTAATACAATCATATCTTAATGAAAAGTACTTAAGAAACGAAAAGAACAAAGATTTAACTAAAAGCACGGAAATAATAAGAATATTCATTCCATTTTCACATTATCTTCTTGTTGTTGTTGTTGTTTTTGTTGTTGTTGTTGTTGTTTTTCTTCTTATTATTATTATTATTATTCATTTTTCATTATTATTGTTACTACTATTATTCATCATCATCATCATTGCCATTATCATCATCATAATCATCATCATCATCATCAACAACAACATCATCGTCTATATTATCATCATCATCATCATCATCATCAACATCATCGTCTATATTATCATTATCATTATCATCATCATCATCATTATCATCATCATCATCATTATCATCATCATCACCGAAATAAACATCAAGATTATCGCCGTTTTCCTCCATTGACAAAATCTCTCGATAAATTCAAACGTGGCCCCAGCTTTGCCGTGTGCAAAATGCGCAGCGCTTTTAAGTTTGGGAACCAAATAATCGTATGGCTTCGTTCATTGCCGACTGTCACGTTTGAATTTATCGAAAGCTTTTGTAAATGGAGGAAAACGGCGATAATCTTGATGTTTATTTCGGCTGTTGCATTGTTTATATTTCCGTTGAAGTTTAAAATTGACCATCATCGTGAAGAATTATATCTTCTGTGTCGATGGACCAAAGGATTATGTGAAAATATTGGAAATGGAATAAAATAAATGGTGATTATGACGGTAGGGGTGCGGATTTTTTCCGGCGAACATTTTTATCTTGTGTATTATTATAGATGTTGAAATATGATTTTTTTTTCAAAACGGCTTATATGAAGTTTTTTTGATATATATGATCAGTACATGTGCTGGTATTGACAAATATGCATTTTATTTGGATTTTAAAGGCGTTTTGAGATCCTAACCCCAAGTGTCTGTGGTTGTGCTGATGGTTGTGGAAGTGGTGAAGATAATGATGATAATAATGATGGAGGATGAGGTGGTGGTCGTTGTGATGATGGTTGTGGTTGTGGTGATGATGATGATAATGATGGTGGATATGGTGGTGGTTGTGGTGGTGCAAACTCCGTGCACCGGTTACGCTTCGGCCAGTTACCACTGCCTTCACACAAATCACGTGATGATGGTCTTATCACATGATTGTGTAAAAATGGCGTATGCGCCAATGAAATCGTTGTAACAGTTGTAACAGCGACATTAAAACTTGAACTCTGGTCTCAAATATGTCGAAATGATTGAAAAAAAAAAGATTTTTGTAAAGCGTAGAGTCGAAATTAATAATAACTTGAATGATTTCTCTTTCGAGAGGGGTCATTGTTTTGGAAATAAACGGTGCGGTATTAAAACTTTTAAAAATTATTTTCATAATATTTATGTTTCCAAAATTATTTTTTATTTTAGTCCACATCTAATACCTAACGGTCTTGAAACATTAGCAAAACCCTGTTTACTTTTTAAAATAAATAAAAAAAATAAAAAAAATCATCAAAAATCTTGACGGAAATGTTGTGATGGCAGAGATCTAATCCTGTAAGGGGAGATAACTGCGTAGGAGATTGGTGGTGGTGTTGATTATGATGATGATGATAATTATGATGATGGAGGTTGTTGTGGTGATGATGATGATGATGATGATGATGGATGTGGTGATGATGATGATAATGGTGGTGGTGATGATGATGATGGTGGATGTTGTGATGGTGATTATGATGATTATGATGATGGTGGTGGTAATTATGATGATGGTGAATGTTGTGGTGATGTTTGTGGTGGTAGTAATGATGATGATGATAAGGATGGTGGATGTGGTGGTGGTGGAAGAACCAGTCATACTGGCGTGGAAGAAAATGTGCGTTTCCTTATCTTCATGTTTAAACCGGGTCAGCAACCTTTACGCTATATAAGTAAGGTAAAATAGAATATTTTCGGTTTGATCTCTGTTGCGTTCCTTCTGATTTCAATGTAATATATACTGAACAACAAAACCTTCCCCTGTATTTAAGTGTAGATATACACAAATATAAAAATCAGGATTAAATTAGATTTTTATGTATTGTAAAAGCATTTCATTGCATTTTTTTGTGACAAAAATATTGCTGAGGGTTTATCCAAATGTAGTCAAATTGTTGTTAAAATGCAGAAACCCGCCCAACAAAATCACGAATTAATATCAGGTATGAGGAAGGACTGTCTGGTATCGTTGACACATAGAACGGATCAGTGTATTGATTTGAGCTTGTGGAAAGTTATTCAAGTCCTGAATTAAGGTGTGTTAGGTGACTGAACGTTTTACAGTGGAATGAGGCGACGTTTAACACGCGGGTCCAAAGTATCCCAAAGGTGTTCAATGGGATTTAGTTCAGGGCTCTTTATTTGGGAGGCATCTTACAATGCATTTTATTTCCATCAGAATTCACAAATTCAACCATTATCTGATATAATACTGCTTGATGGTCATTAATTGTTGAAAAGAATGTATTCAAAATTCGGGAAGAGTTTTGTACGAGGATATATATCCCCTCAGCAAGAAATTTCATCTGTAGAGCGTTATGGCTTCGAAAAAATTCTCCAATCTGACGGTATAGTGACGAATTAAGTTTGCAAAAATCGTCAATATATTACAATGCCTTACAATGAGGACCAATGACAGAAACCGCATCTCAAAGAACACGTTCAATACGTGCCAGTCGAAAATGACTGTTTTCGTTCTCCCTAAGCGTAATAACAAACTCTTAGTTCATCCACAGCTTATTGTGTTGAAAGAGAAAAGAAATCGCGATTCATGTTTCTTAAGCCACGTCGGTGTGTCACGTGTGATGTCGTCTCAAATACACACAAAGAAATAGACGAGATCTGTACCCACCCTCAGTCGCATAAGTTTGGGCAGAATACAGGTGTACGATTGTTATGTGTACTAGGGTTGTTTAAGCAGTATGTAGCTGTGGGCAGTTGGAGAAGCGATTTGCGCCAGTGGGTGTTCCGAGTGTAATACCTCGGGAACTTTCTTTTTGTTGCAGCACAGTTTATAATTAATATCTGTACTCGAATACACATATTCCTTGACGATCGGGTACGGACGATACAACTCTGTTCGTCGGAAGCCGACAGAGGCATGAGACGATTAATGAAAGTCTGCGTCGCGGAACGTTATTTTGCCGAGTAGAGCGAGTCACACGTAACAATATATCAACAAATTTCTCACAACATACACGCGATTGCTGTCATTCAATGTCCAGCTGCCACCGCTGATGATTCTGTAAACGCGACATGCCAGATCACAGTTACCACTGGCCACATTGCGACATGGCTACCGTTACGTGCGTGTAATGAATTCACCGTTTATGAGATTAACTTGCCATGAAAACAGTAGCGTTGACATATACGACGCGCTGTGATACGCCCCTACTTTAGAACACGGTTCATGATAGCATAAGCGAAAATATTTGGAAAATGGGTATAATACTGCATCACTGATAGTGACTAACAAAAAATCTTACTTGGGTCACAGTCTCCTTACAAAAAGAATAATATTCCTAGGTCATGGTGTGTGTTTTGTGCGACTTCAACTGAATGTGTGCGGGCTAGGGTTACGCGAAGAAATACTTTTCATGAGCGCTTAATGTCATATGTGCTTAGGACATGATCGAATTAGCGAAGTCTAGTCAATCAATAGTTTCTGAATGTAATAGATGCTTGTGACGGAAAACAGATCTTTCCACCGAGTATTTAAAATTAAGTATAGAGTAAGACTGGTGCGACATTGTGAATGGGTTGAGAGTCGGGATTACTTATTGATAATGTTGAGACTGCTTTATTTTAGTGTCAGATCCATTTTGAAAAGGACCCGCTAGGTAGATGTTTGTTTATAATTACTAACAAACGAGTAAATTTATGCCGTGTCTGCAGAACATGCCTGAAAAAGTATCTACAATCTCCCCGCTACTTCCATAAAAGTATACGTGGATTTCGTAAAACATGTTGGCTCAATTTGACACGTTAATTTATTCAAGTAGACTGAAAAACGGTAAAAGTAAAAATAATATGATATTCAAACATGGCACTATCACTGAAGTTAGAAACGTTTATTTATTTTTTTTAACCTTGGAAACATGTTTAACATTACAAAATGTATTTTTATTAGGGAATCTAAAAACTGTGTAATTTTGTTTATACAAAAAACGAATAAATAAACATAAGAAAGACTAAAATTTTACACATCGCTGAATAATCGATGCATAGCGTCATTAGCGTGCACGCGGCGCCTAATAATATGATCGTTAGCAAATTTTGAGTAGTATATTTATTGCAAGATACGTTTCATTGCATATGAAATAGTAGAATGGTCAACAATTAATGTTCTTCTGTGGTTGTTCTTCTTGCTATCACCGCTCTTCAAGCTGACATTCAACTTTGTGCTGGAAGAATAAGAAATCAAATACTACGTATAACAGAAATCTTCTCTGTTAAAAATTAAAACTATAACAACAAAGAATGACCAGGCAAATTTATTGTGTCTTTTATGTAAAAGTATTCAGTGCAGTCCAGTCACATTTAGTCAATCAATTCCTTCACTTCTTCCTTCCTTTCCTTCCTTCCTTTTCCTTCCTTCCTTCCTTCCTTCCTTCCTTCTTCATTCTCCTTCCTTCCTTCATTCATTCATTCATTCATGCATTCATTCATCATTCATTCATTCATTCATTTCATTCATTTCATTCATTTTTTTATTGTTTGACTGATTGATTCATTCATCTCTTTTTTCTTAATAATTAATTCAAGAATTTATTAATTAATTCATTAATTAATTCATTCAACCATCAATCATTCATTTATAAATTCATCCATCATTCATATACTTATTTATTCAAGAAAGAAACATTTTCTACCTTTGCATGTATTTGGTATTTGAATGACCATTGAGACGATTTTTTTTCGGGGGTCCCAAACAGAATGCCAACACGTTTCGATGAAAGAAGCTCTGAAAACAACCGACGCCGACTGCCTCGGGTATTTCGAATTTGGCACAAGAGAAGTCATGTTCGAATCTGTAATAAAATATAAATTTTGCAGACGCCAAGTCACAAAATACCTCAAAAGTTCTAGAATATTTTTAATGTATTTTTTATAACCACTTGTTGAAAGTGTTTATTTTTTTATTTTACTTTATAATAATAATAATAATAATAATAATAATAATAATAATAAAAATAATAAAAATAATAATAACAACAACAACAAATAATAATGATAAACAATAATAATAATGATAATAATAATAATAATAATTATTATTATAATGTTATGATTATTATCATTATCATTATCATTTATTATCATTATTATTATTATTATTGTTATTATTATTGTTATGATTATTTTATTATTATTATTTAAGAGTTTAACTTGCGACATGTTAAAGTTCTACCTAAGGAACGGCAAACCTCAATATTATTCCGACTCTAGCCCTTTGATAGTCAGTTCCCACGGGGGAGGAACTGTTACACGAAGGATGTTCGTATTTGGAATAATGACAGTTATCATAAGAACTCCTGATAAGTTATCATAGGAACTCCATCATAAGTGTAACAGCCAATCCAACTCCGGTGAATTTCCCGTTCCATATTGTTGTCAGCTACTTTTCATATAACTACAAACAAGCTATACTTACTTTAAATCGCATTCGGCGATAATGACATTTTCGATAATCCAGCAGTTTTCTGTATCAGACTTAATCTTCTGCTTGCTGACCATTTTTCTTGAAGTGCTACACATGGCATTGTACATGCATGCCGGATATCGAGAAACCGCGTTACTCTCAAGTCTGTCCAATATAAAACACTCAAATTAAAAAAAAAAACAACAAATACTGGGAAATACTCAAACAGTTACTTTTAACATTTCACCCTTTACCGGATGACATAGTGTAATGGATTTGCTTAGCTCCGATTTTGGGTCAGTCCATTCTAAGATAAAGGGGCTTCAATATCAAATACAAATACTGAGTCACCAACAGTATAGACGTAGGTATAATGTCTATGCTTAATGAGGATTAATCCATCCATAAAGACACAAAATACAGCCTTCACTGTAGATTACGGACTCTTGACATGTCACCAGTCATACGCTTCTTTAATTTCCGCCATCGTAAGTTCTTCAAATCTTTTGAAAATGCCATGTGCCACTCCGAGGGGAGCGGAAGCCTAGTGGTTAAGGTATCAGCCTCTCAACTAAGGGATCATGGGTTCGAGCTCTAATTGGGTCACGACCATGTTTTTGTTGTCTTTTTTTTTCATATAACACCAGAATTAGTTGGTTTCAGGAAGCTGACTCGAATGTGATTTATATGGTTGTTTCGCAATCGAACTTAAATAAATAATATTATGTTTAAACCATATATGGCTGTACGTGCCTCTCCGCAACGTGCACGTACCGTGCGGAAGGAGAACAGATTAGAGCTAAGCCAGACTTCTCTAATTGTTCTAACATGTAAAAGGTCCAGGCAGACAATCCTCAACAACGCTTACAACATAGACTTATAATTATTGCTACACCCCCCCCCCCCCCCCCACTTACACAAAGAGCCATCCGTTGGATGTCATATTCAATTTGAAAGCACATTCATAAATTATGCGAGATTTTACTATTGCAAAAAACAAAAACAAAAATGTAAGATGAAAAAAGAAAAAAAAAATATAATAATAACTTACTTGAGATGCTTTTCAGCCGCTTCATTCCTTTGTTGCAAGATGACCTGCATTTCTTCTGATAATTTAGATTTGGCTTTCTGATAGTCCTTTCTGCAAAATTAGAAAATCGTCAAAGTTTGATATTAGGTATTTCATTTACATACCACATAAATATTCAGCTGATTCTTTTTTAAGCATATGTTATCCATTTTTTTCTAAATTCAAAAGTTAATAACGAAAACATATATAAACAATCTTAAATTACGGGCTTAATTTTTCAAATAAATATTTAATTCGGTTCGTAAATATGTATAATTCTCATACACGTGTATTTATTGCAGACAAAAATGATTCATAAAATTGCCATTTGCTGTGATATTAACAGAAATGATACTGTACCTTGGAAATGCTCCCTTTCTAATTCAGACATAAGATTCCGGTCTTAACTTCCGGTGGACCGCACATCGCCTTTGTCGTTTTGCCCGGGCTCTCGGTTCTATGAATCTTGTAAACGTGGATTGGGGTTAGGGTTAAAAATAATACCCAACTTGTATACAGCTGAAACATATAAAGGCAATGTCATTTACATAGACGATAAGTATTTTAATATCTTAAATACGTACTTTGACGGCAGATTCTAAATGAATTATATATATATATATACCATATCGAAACGCATAATACTTATTTTTAGTTATCAAAAATGTATTCATTCGCCTGACATAGCAGGCATTAAACAAACGTTATCATATCATAAGGCTTGGCTCAGGTAATATCTTATCTTATCTTATTTTAAAAAGATACCGGAAAAAGCGACACACTTTATGCATTATCAGTATATTCTACATGTATTTGTTTTTGTAACTATCACAAAAATACATGCAACTGGACATGACTGACCATTAGTATGTACGTGTTTATACCATTGAACCTTTACTGAATACTTAATATTCAAATTGTTATGAGTTTATTTAATCAATATTAATTCTCTATCTATCATATACGGAGTATATCAAAGTTATTTTACCAGCTCAAACTAACATCAAGTAAATTGAACTTTCTACGTATTAAAGCGAAATAATTTTAAATTTAATATAATTTTATCTTTAAATAAACAAATGCGTTACATGTTTAGCAAGCATAATTACTCTAGAAACAAAATGTTATACAAGTTTGCAACAACAAAAAAATGACAATATCTCTTACCAGACGCGCCATAGCTGTCCGTTAACTTTTGATTCTTGCATGTTTGTGGCGTATGAAGATCGGGGATGTGTTCTTCGGTCGCCGGTTAAGATTACTCCGCTGAAAAATAACAAAAATAACACGCTGAGTAAGAAGTCCTTGAAGCAGTTAGATAGTTTATCTGAAATCAAAATTGCTTAATGGATCTATTTTAAAATTTATCTTTTTTGGTTTCACTGATTTGTCATCTAATTTCACTTGTAAAAATCAAAGTGATTGGCTGATTGATGAACCAATAGAATTTTAAAACGTGCATAAAATAATTATAGAATGTTTTTATAAATGCATGAACAATTCAGGAATATGAAATTTATATCTTGTTTATTTTTAACGAATAGGAAACATTCGATTTATCTCTTTAGTCGACTCCCGGTCGTGATGGTCGTTTTTCGGGCTGTCCCTCTCTCATTGGATGTGGTTGTTGGTTTGGTTGTAAGTCGGTCGTATCGGATCGGGTCGGTCGGTGTTCTAGTTCAAAATGAGACATTGGAAGCAGTATGGAGACATGCACTCGTAAAATTATTTGCATTGTATTGCGGGAAAGTGACTTTTTTTGCCGCTTTAATTTCACATTACGACAGCCAACTAGTGTGAGAATGTAGTTGTTTAACTCGTACAAATCCCACATTCAAGCTTATAGCGGCCTTAAAGTGAAAAATGAAATTTGCTTATAATAAAATACATAAACAATTAGGAAATTTCTCGATACCTCTAAACTACCGGTTCGTACTCTATATGTTTTTAAATCAGTGAAACGGACGATTCATTTTCGGATCTTCTATTTTTAGAAAAGATCGTGACTGGCACGTTATAAATATATCTCGGGACGCTGTTTTGCAAAAAGCTTAACAATGATATGATGAATCAAATTACAGAAGTACTTAGTTTGAAATAATACAGAATTGTTTTTCCTGCAGAAAATAAAAGTTAGAGGACGCTTTAATGATTACTTGAAGTGTCGAATATGGTGCTAAAAGTCGTGGTGCAAATCTCGTATTTGAGCTGAATGTTCAAATTTAAGGTCGAATATGGCCAAAAGTGGTGTAAATCTTGTATTTGAGCTTAATTTTTTAATTTAAAATTCGAATATGGTGCTGAAGCCATGGCCGAATGACTTGCTTATTAAGAGCCATTTAGATTTAATGGCATGCTGCAATTCGTGCCAAATTCCATTTGAATTTAATTTGGTTGTGCTGAAAGTTGATCCAGCACAAAGTTCACTTTACGTTAAACGGCAAGCTATAAGTCGTGCACGCTTGCATTCTAGCTTAGTCACGTGATCCGCGTCACGACAAAACCAACATAATGGGTTTGCGACCAGCATAGATCCAGACCAGCCTGCGCATCCGCGCAGTCTGATCAGGATCCATGCTGTTTGCTTACAAACCCTATTACAAATAGAGAAACTGACAGCGAACAGCATGGATCTTGATCAGACTGCGCGGATGCGCAGGCTGGTCTGGATCCATGCTGGTCGCAAACCCAATATGTTGGTTTTTGTCATAATTGTTAAAAAGACATTCAAGACCGAGACGCAATTTTTTGTTTATATCTATGCGTCGTTGATAGAACATGATTTAAAGGCGCATTATGCCACATAAATCTGTATTCATTGAATTCTTAAGTAATGTCAAACATGTCTTTAATACTGTTTCAACAATGTATTAAGATCATGCTACATGTTTAAAGCTGAGGAATATGCAGTTATATGTCGTAAAGTTAGTAAAATATAAACAAAGTAGTATTTTAACACTCATTCACCATAATAATACTAATTGCCGAAAAAAAGCAAAAGGGGCAAAGATAGGTCAATTATATAGCAAATGAGTATTTTATATTATTTTGTGGAAACTGTAACAAGGCACACAAAAAAAGGTTATTGAAAAACAAAAATGTTAGCATTTCTGAGGCATAATGGGCCTTTTATAGGAAAACGGTTTATTAGATTTATTTAAACGGTCTTTAAAACGAAACGAGCTTAGATACGAAATGCTGTTGAAACGACGTGTATGTTGAAATATTAATGGACAATATTGAGCTAGCTGTTTAATTTTATTCAATTTATGTTTTGCAAATAATAACATACACGAATGTTATTATTGCAAACCAAATAATACGCAATTAAAATATAAATTGTGAAATGTTTTTTTTTCATTTTGACCATGAACTTTATCGTACTGACTGTTATAAAATAAACACGGATGCACTCCTGGGCAATAGAGCACTTAAACATCTAAGTGTTTTTGATCGTTAGACTAAGTGCATTTGTTTATCTTTTTTTACAATTATGTAAAGCAGCTTCATACAAGGGTTAATATCTTCAATTCAAGTATTTTAGTGTACACGTTATACCATTAATTACATATGTTTGTTTATGGTTCAAAACTGATGATTTTTTGCCACTTACCTCGGTATAAGCAAATATTTTACATGATCCGTTCGTTGGTTGAGGTATTTAAAAGTCTTGCTGTAATGTTTTCCCGCCAAACGATGTCTAATATCGGCCAATGTCGTAATAAATCGTTTTTTTCCGGAACTTTATTTTTCACAATTTTCGGTATTCAAATTTATAACCGGAATTTAGTAGTTTTTTTTAACGACAAGGAATGAGTGATTGTAAATATTTTATTAACCAAGATTTGAAAAAGTAATATTCCGGTAATAACCGATTTGCTACGATATTGGCAGATTTAAGATTTTTTTTGGCGGGAAAGCGTTACAGTATGAAATATTACCAAAACATGACACAAGATACATTGCTAGTCAATGTTGTATGCAAATTTTTTCAAGGTCATAAATGTTTTTGCATTATGTGTTGGAGATAAGTTTCACACTGTGTTATGGGACAGTTTTGCCAAATTACGCACTTGTTTGTATACTCAGCTTATCCTACTTGTAATAATAGTGGCTGAATTGTGCCGAGGACAGTATTTGACTAAGGGGCGGAAAAGTTTAAAATTGATTCTGAATATTACCTTTGTTTTTTATGACAAGATATGGCAATTGTTTGTATTTTAGTTGTACTCAACAGTGTATTTTTTCTGGTCGAAAACGTTACGACCCTAGCGAAAAATATAGTTACTTCATATTCAGATATATGTATTGTAATCATTTTGAGTACAACAAAATGGCATATCTTGACATAAAGAAAGAAAGAAACAAACAACCATAACACCCCTAATGCTAGGTACTGAATGTTTGACTCTGTCGGGGATGTGTATATGCAATTTGATATTTCAGAAAACCAACTTGGAACATCTCGGTTCACGGCTAAAGACACCGGAGCGAAACCGTGGCCATTACCGGGACAGTGCACATGGGGCTTAACACTCATTTTTGTTTGCTACGGTATGGAAACAGTATAGATACGGTGGTTCCCCGGCGATTCCCGGTGTCAAACCGATAGAAAACGATTCTGGGTTTCCTTCCCGGTGAGTGCCGGTGAGACCCGGTTGTATTAAACATTTCAATACAACCGTGGCGATCTCCCGGTTTGTCCCGGTTCACCAAGGTTTGTCCCGGCTTTTCACGGAATCGCTTTGGATCTTAAGCTGGTTTACCACTATTAGCAAACCGAGATGTCAAACCGGGACTTGAGTAAATGGGGCTTAAAGTCTCAATTGTAGTTAAAGGTACGTGACGATTGACGAAAATTAAAAAGGAGTGATTTTGATTATTTGTCAGAATGTTAACCACTTTCACATCATTTCTGTTATCATCTGCGGCCTTGAAAATACTTTTTTTTTTGCCTACAACGGCCGTATTTTTACTTCGACCGGGCTAGTTGGGACACCTGTATCATACACTCGGTTGACATTTGGCAGAGACATTTTGAACAAAAAACAAAACAAAACAAAACAAAACAAACAAACAAATAAACATCATTTTCACGAATTTATCAGAAGCTGTCATT